GTTCAATCAGAAAGCGATATGAAGACTGCTGGCTGCTAATGAGAGCTCACCAGTGTGGCTGCGCAGCTTTTTTGACCAGCGATTCAGCAAGACCAACGGCTGCCTTTGATTGCTGTCATTTGGTGATTTATTTCCGAGCGATGCTCAGTGATAGCTCAATCAGGTACATGCCGGGTGGATCATTCTTGTTCGTAATCTTTCTCACACTGGTCGTTGCACCTTGCTCATGAAGAGCTCAAGCATCAATCTGCCAGGTGGCGCAGTTGTGACGCAGGCATGGTGTGTCCTGATGATTGACTCTGTAAGCCTTGGGATGGCCACCTTGAGATGGACCCGGCACGGTCAGTCATCGAACACATGGAACGAAACCAAAGAAGAGCGGGTGCAATGAAGGCGCTGGACGACAGCGTAGCGGGCACCGCGTTCACAGGAAGCACCCAGGCGCAAGAGCCACAAGGCGAGCTGTGAGCCGGGAGGGGAGCCGGGAGTGGGCCACTGAAAAGAACAGGCTGTGCGAAGGATAAAGATGAAGATGTTGAATCGACAGTGCTGGATTTTGCGGGATCGGCAGTGATAACAGCAGTTGGAGCTTCTTGCCCGGTTTTCCCGCTTATAGGCTGCTGAACAGTAGCGGCTTTAGTGGGAGGGGAGTCCCCAAGTCAGTGGAACACTCATGGCCCAGAACAGGGGCAGCGCTGCCAACGAACTGCCACAGGACCTTAGCCATCGTGATGAGCACGAAGTGGGCCTGAAAGTAGATGACTACCAGAAAGACTGACATTTTTCGCACCGCGTGGGACCTCACTGGCTTTGAGCACCTCGGGATAGAAGTGAATCCACCTTGTACGGAGCTTGTGAGGTCAGAGGTCCACTCACTGAAACGGGGGGGAACAGGCAAACCTCTCGCTTTCGCTCTCGCTTTTGCTCTCGCTCTTCCTGTCGCTCTTGCTCTCGCTCCCGCTCTCCTCGCTCCCGCTGTCCAGCTCGCGCTATTGCTCTGCGTCGTGCACTCGCTCTGGCTGTTGCTGTCACTCTGGCTCTTGCGCTCGCTTTCGCTTTCGACCCGGTTTTCGCTTTTGCTCTTGATTTCGCTTTCGCTTTTGCTCTGGCTTGTGCTTTTGCTCTGGCTTTGGCTTTTGCTCTTGCTCTTGCTCTTGCTCTTGCTGTCTCGCCTCTGTTTGTTTTCTATCTTTCTCTGTTCTCTCTCTCTCTCTCTCTCTCTTGAGTTTCTGCCCTGTGTTGAGGCAGTGCCACCGAGAGCCGCATCCCGCGGCGCATGCTCATGCCAAAGGACCGGGAGTGGCTGCCTTTTGCTGGATCGGTTGTTTCTTGTGTCAGCTTGCTGCTACACTTGTCTTCCAAAAGGGTGGGAGCTGTCAGTTGATTGGATCCAATTCTTTGCAAAGGGTTGGGTCAAAGTATTTGCATAGCGATCCTCCTTGATGCTTTGGCTTCCATGTTTGTTAGGGTTGCATTCTCTCCGCTAGCCATGGCTTAGGGCTCCCCGGGTCGGCTTGCCATATGGTGCTTTGGATGCTAGTGGCGTTACTAGAACAGCCTGATGTGCCAGTTGCTGCAGCCTTACCTCCAGCATCTCGCAGTTTAAGTGCTCCTTGTGCAAATATGCCGTGTCGACCCTAGGATCAATTGAATTGATGGCTTGTTTGGGTTGGCTGTCTTCAAGCCCTTATTACACAATTGTTGCGAGCTAAAACAACTAGCGGGGTCTTGTCTCCAAACCAGCAACCATGCATTTTGTTGTACGGGATGCTCAGGGCAGAAGGTGCCAAGATTGGCCTGCCACATAGGGGCAGGCAGCATGTCTTTTAGTCCTTTGGCAGAAGTTGGATACAGCTCTACGGCATGTGAGGTCGAGTTTATATCCGTTCTTTCCTACAGGACTCTCGAATTGACACTTCTAGCCTTCGCAAAACCACAGAGCAAGCCTTCCAAGATGTGAGTATCAGCGGGAACAGAGTGCCAAGACCTTGCAAGGGGCCTTTGTCAGACCCTGTTCCAGCACCCTTTTCCAGCTGATTTCAAGCATCTCGCGTATCTTTTGCGAATCCTATAGTTAGTTCACCCAATGATGGCTCCCTGTTACTCACCCTTCCTCACCCAAAGAACCCTGTTGGGGTTACCTGGTTGATGGCTCCCGGCCTTTCCCCGTCAGAATGTGAAGTGGCGAAAGCCCCACAAGCCGCCGGTGAAGCCCTGGGATACCAACACGCGCCTCGGATGCACGCATCCGAGAGACGAGTTCCGTATTTGCCGCTTGCATTTGTTTGTGGATTTTACAAGGTTCTCCTTTTTGGGTTGAACACCAACATTTTTGGGGTACAGTGTGCCGGTTCTGACACATACTCAGTTGCGGCAACTGATTGGTGGACGGACTTCCGCAGAGAAAAACCAGATGTTGTAGCCACGTAGAGAAGCAGCTTTGGCACGCTGAAATTCATTATTGGTCAGACCGGAACAGAAGACTGGGCATTCTCGGCTGTGCTTCAGAGATGATTACGGAGAGCGAGCCTCCAGGAATGGTGCGAATCGGTGTGGAATAAGTGTGGGACTTCCAGAGATGGCTAAGATGGCTAAGTTAAGGTTGGAGCTAAATGCAGTAGCAAGCAAAATCGGAATGACTTTTCCAAGACCCAGTCAGCCTTCAACGGAACAGGAGGTTGCAGGCAATCGGTTGACTGATTGCCAAGGCTCAAGCACTTGGAGGTTAGTCCTGCTTGAAGCTCCTGGCAGGTGGAAGTACAAGGGAGAGGCGTGGAGGCGCGTTGCTGGAAGCAGTCTTTGGGAAACAGGGCTGAGAGAGGTGCCCATACAGGGCTGGGCTTCCGATTCTACCAGGGTGGGTGTCTTCTTCTGCAGCGTTTCAAAGAGACATACAAAAATAATATATATATATATATACGTATATGTATATGTATATATATATATATATCGCCGGCAAGCATACTCTGCTTGTCTCAAGCAGCATGTTCATGTTCATTTCTGCATGTCATCATCAGTGTTGAATCTATGGCCTTCCTAGATGCTGTACCCGAACCATTGCCAACTTGCAACTCCAAAGAACACTAGAATGAGACTTCTGGTTCAATCAACGCGCTGAATCCTGGCTTCCCATGTGTGCATTGCAGGGGCAACAAGCCCTACTTTGGCAAGTATGCTCTGCAGATCCAGCAGGAGGCCGGCAAAACACAAATCAAAGCGCGGTTCGGAAGTCCCCAAAGCGAAAACTGGATTTTTTGAGTGGGTGAGAGAAATCGATTCTTGAGTGGATTTTTCTTTGGCTTTTGGCATTGACATTGAGCATGGACAGCGAACCCTTTGTCACGCTTGCCATTGTCTGCAGAAGGCAGTTTAGGGTGGCGCACAAATTCGCCCATCAGAGGGTGCTATGGATTTCCAGGGGTTGTTGCGCATGTATGGATCAGTTTGTGCAACTATGAATCGTTGAAGGCCTGCATTTGCCTTCCAGGCTTGGATCAACAACAAGAACATTGAGGCCTGCCGTCGAATGATGGCCCGGAGGCTCAGGACATGCCGACTTTTGCTCGCCCGAACAACAGCCTAATGCCTAAACCCCATTGACATTTGGGTCTACTAACATGATTATGAAGTTTTGGATAGGCTTTTAGATATCCAGAGTTTAACCAGGTAGAGCCACCTGCCGCACTGGCCAAAGGGGAGTTTGGGCACTGGCCAAAGGGGAGTTTGGGCGCTGCTCACTTGTCCAGGCAAGATGCTCTCCTATGAGAGGTTTGCCCTTCACGCATTGCCACTTTTGGATGATTTGCCAAGCGCCTCATAGTGAGAACGTCCTCGCTGAGATTTGGAATGGCACCAGGGTTTAGCTTGTGTCGCAAATCGCAAACGGGTTTGCTGGCCGGTTTGATTAGCAATGAAAGTAGATGCACCATTCTCCCATATGGTTTTTTTACCTGTCCTCGCTTCATCATTCCTTTGACCATGAAGGAACTGGTGCCATCGACTTCAATGCATCGTAGCTTTGGCGCTTGAGGTGCGCGTGATGCGCCGCGGCGGCGGCAAGTACTGGCTGCGCTGCTTCCCCCACTCCGTGGGGCCCCCATGTGAGAGAGAAGCTTGGCCCGGGTGGAGAAGCGGAAGCGGCAAGCTGACGGGAGCCAAACGGGAACAGAAGGGAAGAGTAATGTTGATGGACACTTCTTGCGGCAACGCAGCTGATCCAAAGGCGAAAGGAGCTTTGGACGGTGTGAAGAGTTGGTAGACCCATCCTGAGTGCATGAGGCTGCCCTAAGACATGAGGATGGATGATTCATTGGCGCAATTCTGGATGCCCCGGACATGGCAAGCAGCTTCGGAATCGATTGGCGGGAGCTGCTACTCTTTGCGATTAGAAGATGCAACCGATCCCAATGCGCCAAATTCACAGCCTGGTCCACTTAGAACTTGACACCCCCCCAATGATTTGCGAGAGCCCGGCTTCAGAAACTAGAGATATTTTCAGCAGAGGCTGCCATGATCTCATGGCAAGTCTTCTTCAAGGCGGTTGGTCAGGACCTTCCTGGATGCAGGGCATGCCTGCTTCGGGGGTTTGTTTGAATGTTTCAGGATTGCCTTTTCACTTTCATGCTTTTCTTGGGCCGCAGGAGGTCGCAGAGCCGATGGCCGAGCAGAACAGTGGCCAAGCCATATACCAAAGCTCAACCATCAAGCAACTCGAACCAGCAACATTTGCATTTACCAGATGATTTCTTTGCGACCCTTGCTGGGTACGTCATTCTTTGAGGGTGCTGTTTGTGGGTTTGGCTTGGGAAACCAAAGGGAGAGAAGCCCAAAAGAAGCCATGCTGTTCGATTCCGTTTGGGGCGCCGTCCGAGTAGCGATCCCATCCGCTCCGAGGCCATCACCTGGCGAGCCAAGGAGTCGCGAATGGGCGGAGGCAAGGGCAATATTCAGCCACAGCCTCAGGGCCGGATGCAAAATTCCAAGGCGCGGGCGGATTGGACAGTAAGGACTTGCAGGCAAACAAATGGAATGGGTCCGGAGGGGTCGCGAGGCTGGGCAGATTGGAGAGTCAAAAGGACTTGTGCTGGCTTTAAATTGGGTGAAAAGGCAACCAGCTGTATACCTGCCAAGTTGAGATGCTCAAGCTTCCCCGGTCAGCCAGAGCTGGAATCCAACATGATTTGTGGAGGCTGACCAAACACACCAGCAAGAAGTAAACACTGGTAAAAGAAATAGCAGACGAAGGCTTTTCATCCCAAAAGACCTTTCGATCGGGGCATTTGCGAAAACTTAGTTCATTTCCGTTAGACAAAACACATCCAGATTCTGCCCTGTAAGTTGTGCGCGAAAACACCTCCCTGATACTCTTACATATATATATACGTATATATATATATATATATATTTATTGTCGATTCAGGTCGGGCTGATGCAGCATGCACCCAGACGTCGTTTGGATGCCACTTAGGGGTACCCTCATTTAGAGTAAAGGACAACTAGGAAACCGACCATTGGGTGTCTCAGGAAAGACAAATGCTTCATCTTGCTCGCTTGCCTTCCCTTGAACCCGCTGATCCGATCCCAGTTCCTGGGTGCAATCGGTGCGGCCGGGCTATATCCTCTTCGAGATGGACGGTTGCACGGAGGACGGGCTCCTTCAAAACAAAGCCACGGCCTTTGAACTGGCTGGAAACAGCCATTTGAGGGGAGCATTTCCTTTTCTTTCTTGCTTTCTTGCTTTCTTTCTTTCTTTCTTTCTTGCTTTCTTTCTTTCTCTGTCTCTCTGTCAAACACGACCAGTTGCCAGCTGATATGCGGATACAGAGTGTGCCCATGAACATGCGCGCCCACGCCCACGCCCACGCGCACGCGCACGCGCACGCCCACGCACACGCACACGCACACGCACACGCGCACGCGCACGCGCACGCGCACGCGCACGCGCACGCGCGCGCACGCGCGCCGCGCGCGCCCGCGCCCGCCCGCCCGCCGCCCGCCCGCCCGCCGCGCCGCCCGCCCGCCCGCCCGCCCGCACGCACGCACCGCACGCACGCACGCACGCACGCACGCACGCACGCACGCGCGGCGCCGCGCGCGCGCGCGCACGCACGCACGCACGCACGCACGCACGCACGCACGTACGTACGCGCGCGCGCACGCACGCACGCACGCACGGACGCACGCACGCACGCACGCACGCACACTCAGACACAGGCTCACACAAATTCATTGGGAGCCCATTGCGCATCATTGCCTTTTTGATGTAAAATGAGTGACCTTGCGGTTGAACAAGCGTCGGCTAGAAACTTCACGATTTTTCCTTGTTGCGCACAAGGCGCACATGTTGCAATGCCTTTGTTCCACATAATTAGCGGCTCTGAATCCCAGAGTTAAGGGACTCATAACAAAAAGTGCAGGCAGTGGCGAAGCGAGCCTTCCACTACATCGACAAGTATCTTCCCTTCAAGGCTGGGTTTCGGCGGCTTACTCATGTTCATATGTCCACAGTTTGGATCGGCCATGTTTAAGGGAGAGTGGGACTTGAGCCGTTTTCAACGAACCATGACGCTCATTGATCCGCAGCTGCGCCGGGGGAACACCCCTTTCCGAGACAATGACAGTGATTTCTCGTGTATGGAGAGGGCCTATGGCAGGCCTCGCTGCATATTCGCAACTAAATGGCTGTGTCAATGGTCCCCCACTGTTTGGTTTCCTCGTTTCGCTTCGGATCGCCAACAGAGGGGCGGGATTTGCCACTCAAGAGCCATATGCAGCTGGGGTTGCCTGCTTCTCTTTAGGACATGCTGTAAAAACCTCACGTGGAATCCTTGGTCGGGGTCGCCTTCCCCCTCCCCCGCTGCATCAAGCCAGGGCTTTTGGCGGCTGCCGACCCCTCCCACTTGCCAGGGTGCATGGGCCTCCTTTAAATTCTATCTCTGATTTCTTGAGTGCAAACACAACCAGGGATGCCCAATGTTGGCACAACAGCTTTGGTTGTCATTTCCTTTGCAGCTTCTGGCCGTCGCGTTTCTACTGCATGACTTCCATGAAGCAGGACTTGTAGTTTTCACTTTACTTCCCTTGACAAAGGCGACACACTTCGTCCATCATCGCTTTGCCGCGCTGGAAAAGAATGCGCTGCGTTCGCGCAGACCAAAGTCCTCATCAAGGACACCCCGAGCCGCTTCGAGCTCGGCCTGGCAGGCGGGGGAACGGAAAACAGGCACCGGCAGCACCGGCAACCGTCGCCCTCCGCTTCGCAAAGTACATGTTTCCGGAATCACGAGCCATCTTGCATGTGGCCCGTCGACCTGGCCCCTTATTCTACTTATTAACGTGCACGTGCGATCCCTTGTCCAAGTTGCTTGCCAAATCCATGTTTAGATCTGCGCCATTCATCAAAAAGGGGAGATCATCAAGTGGAGGGTGGTCTGACCTGGCCAGGAGAATGTTCTGATGGACAAGCGCCCATTTGAGACGTAAGTACGTCTGCAAAGCGAGTTTCGCGTGGTGGATTGGCACTTCTGTGTGAAATCAGGGCCATCCGAATGTTGGGTTTGCTATGAAGCTCCACATTTGATGGAAGGGTGACGCACGAGTGATCGGCCAATTTGGGCTTGTTGGAGCCAGCCAGGCAGCCTCAAGTCCAAGAAGAACATCCCCAAGGAGTTCCAGAAGTTCTCCGACACTGAGTGAGCTTGAGCCGGGTTTGGCCGAAGGAAGGATTTTCGGGCCCTGCGAGCCAAAAGCTAGCGGCTTGTTGGCTATCCATGGCTGCCAGTTGATACCTGGCTTGAGCTCCCTTGCTGCTTCGCCCTCATGGCACTCTACAGGCAACGCTTTCGCAGTGAGGGCGTAGACGCCCATGTTGGACATGCTGGCCGTTCAGTAACAAGCAATGACACTGAACCATAGTGTAAGACGTTGCCGCCCTACGTCCAAGGTCATGGTTAGTATGTTGAAGACACGTTGTGGTTGCTTCGATTTTAGGATTTGTTTAGGGTTAGTTCAGGATTAGGTTCTTGGTTCAGGAATACATTGGTCTGGTTTGAGGTCCACGATGTCAACGCAAAGAGCCATCATGTTGCGACGGGGTCTCAACGTTTGAACATCTTGAAGCCATGACTGTTCCGTTTGCCGCATGCCCCAAACCAGTTCAACTGCAATGACCCTGGAGCATGTTGCATCGAAACAGATCTCATTGACAAGGATTCAAACACGACACGTGAATTGGCATGGACCAACAGATGGCCCCAGGCGCCTCGTTTGAAGTGACAGGGCGGGAGCTTCCGGGCGATGGTTTGCTCAAGCGTAGGCCGTTTGCTCCCATTCCCAGAGCCCGCTGGTTTGTCTGTGCATTCATTCCCTCGATACGTTGTCGTGTTCGAGCATCATTGACAAGACCAATGCATAGATAAAATGTTGCTGGATCACACACACACACATATATCAAAGAATACTTGCAGATGCCTTACCCACATTGAGCGATCATTGCAGGTGCCTTAAAGTAATACAGCTTCAAATAGTCATTGCATTTATAACTTGCAGTGTTCCTGGCACTTCTTGCTTTACCCATGCGCCGTCGATGACAATGGCTTGAAAGCGCCGAACGGTCTTGGCTTAGAAAAAGCTGCACAGGCCAATGTTGTGGTTCAATGTGTTTGGTTTCGCTTGGCCCTATGTCGAGACGGCTTGCGCCATTTCGCTATTCGTTGCCAGCCAATACATTCACAGCCCAGATCATTATGTAGGCTCTTTCAGTCTGTTCAGGATGGAGAGTCGGGCAAGCCAAGCATGTGCACACTCCACCGACCCCCGTTCTCACGCTGCTCTTTGAAGGCCCTTCGGAACCAAGCCACATGCATATGACTGCATATGATTTTCGATTGGACACCACCTCAACAGTGGCTGGTGGACACGGTTCCCAATGAATTTTGATGTCCACGAAGGAGTCCCACGGGTCAGGTTCGACCCATGAAGCCATGGCCGAGTGGCGGGTGGTGGACGAGGGGCCGCCGCTGCGCGGCTTGGCGAGGACGGGGTGTCCAGCGGATGGGGCCGGATTTCGCGGCGAAGGGCCAGTCGCCACACCGTACATCTGGCAAAAACCAGTGGTTCAGGTGCGGAGTTGGTTTGCAGATCAGGACCTTCTTACTGATCGCCTTGGGAATTTAAAGAGATCGCACTAACGTCGCGCTACATAAGCCATGTGAAGCATGACATCCTGTCATATTTTCGCGAAGAAAGCAGGCGACAACTCAGGGATAGACAAGGACAACTTTGCACGTGAGACTGCCATGGCACCAAACATTTGGCGCATTTGATTTGAGATTGCGTTTTGATGAACAGCGATTGTCCTTTCTCTTTGTGAGAATTTGGTTGGGTGGGCACAATTGTCATCCATCCCACAGATTGGAGCACCTGAGCGAGCGCCCTTTACATTTTTTGCGAGGGTGTGAAGATAGGAGGACCCCCAAAAAGGTGGATTCTCCTTGTGGTTTCCATTTAAATCCTGAAAAGGATACCCTCCGAAAATCACAAGCCTATTGCGGGAGCTTGCGCGATCTCTCTTTGGGCCATCGTGCAAGGCGCAGCGTGCCTGCCGCCTTTGATGCCTGCGCTGGCCAGTATTCAGATGCCGTGGCGCTGAGAGGCACGCATGGGCGGTCTGAACACCAATGGAGTTGATCTGAAAGCGGTTGGCTCTTCTTGCTAATTTTGCGAAGTTGTATTTGGTAGGCAGAACAAAGGGCTCATTCGTGGTGGCTGTTTTCCACGGCCCAGAGAACGACGTGAACCGGTTTTGCCGATTTCCGGAAATGAAGCAGCCGGGTCAGCTCAGATGTGCATCTAGTTTCTCCATGTGGGGCATGTGACAAGCACACAAAAAGAGTATGAGATGTTAATTCAATACAAAGTGACCGACGTAAGCAGCATAGCCCATATAGAATTTGGAAGGTGGCTGTTGTGGTTGGGAGGGCACATGCCGCAATGCTGGAGGGTTTGCCTTCATGTCTCTCTGGTGGCTACTGTTTGACATTGTTATCAGAACGGTTATCAGGAGGACCCTCTGCAAAAACACACAAAAGACAGACACGCAGAAACACAGACAGACAAACATGCAAGCCCACGTTGCAGGGAAACACGTCAATTTAAAACAAGCATTCCCTGTTCTTGCGCTCAGATGGATACTGGCCTTGGCCCACACCTCCTGGTTTGGGTTGGTCTCATGTTGGGCAGTCACTTGAACTGTGCTCCTCTCTGCAGGTGCAGATGTTGATGGAGAAAAGGACTGGCCTCGGTGATGTCGGATTGGCCTTGGGGTGCTTCTATTGGTGATGATGTGAAACAAGCTGCGAACATTGATCCACAGTCATGAGAAGCTGTGAAATCGCCCAACATTTTGTTGTTTTGGCCTTCCGTGCTTTGTTGGTGCTGCTAGTCAGCCATCTAGTCTCTCTCTCTCTCTCTCACACACACACACACGCAATAGGCTAGCGGATCAACTGGCTACTATCCCAAGAGCTACCTAGCTGGAAGCTTAGCTTTGGTGGAGTAACAACTGGGGTTTGAGACCTCCATGCTCCATTGCGACAAGTAAAGTTCATGCCGACAGCCATCGCAAGAAAGCGTGCCTTTCCAACTAATTTCTCGGCTAGGTCACCAGTTAGCTATATTTGCTTACAGACTTAAGTCAACCAACCACGCAGCCGATCCTAGAACGCCCGCAATTTTTGGGCGGGACGCAAATTGCCTGGAGCATATGAAGAATCCCAACTGTTTGCAAGTTCATTTTCCTCAACCAGTTCATACACGGGTTTCTTCTGTTGTGGAAACGCCTTTGCGAAGCAACGTTGGCAACTTCACGCATGTTGGCCATTTGAGTTGGAGAAATGCTCGTCTTGAGCCGATCACTGCCGTTCAGTCAGTCTGTGTCTGAGCCGTTTTTTGGGGCATTGTGGTGGCCTCAAATCAAGGGAGCCCTTATCCGGAGCCATATGCTCCACGGCCGCCAGGAACTGAGATATGCGCAGCTGCGGCAGATGGTGGCGAGGAGCGCCCGGGCGTTAGGCAGGAAGTGGCGCATGGCCGTGTTGCGTTGGTCTTCAGAGCGGAACGTGGAAGAGCATATTCCTCTCAAGCGGATTTGTGAGACGAACATGAAATCGAATGGAAAGAAAGAAAGAAAGAAAGAAAGAAAGAAAGAAAGAACTAAAGAACTAAAGATAGAAAGAAAAGCAGAAAGAAGGCAAGAAGGAAAGAAGGAAAAAATGAAATAAGGAAAGAAGGAAAGAAGGAAATCAATAAATGAAACAAAATAGATCAATAACATAAGTAAAGAAAGAAAGACAGAAAGAAAGAAATAAATAAGAAAGAAATAAATAACAAACGTAAAGAACTAAATAAAGAAGAAAACAACGAAGAATACAGAAAGAAAGAAAGAAAGAAAGAAAGAAAGAAAGAAAGAAAGAAAGAAAGAAAGAAAGAAAGAAAGAAAGAAAGAAAGAAAGAAAGAACGAAATAAAGAAAGAAACACATAAAGACAGAAAGACAGCAAGAAAGAAAGAAAGACATCAAGGAAGGAAGGAAGGAAGGAAGGAAGGAAGGAAGGAAGGAAGGAAGGAAGGAAGGAAGGAAGGAAGGAAGGAAGGAAGGAAGGAAGGAAGGACAGAAAGAAAAGAAGGAAGGAAGGAAAGAAAGAAAGAAAGAAAGAAAGAGAGAGAGAGAGAGAAAGAAAGACATAAATAAATAAAGAAAGAAAGAAAGAAAGACAGAAAGAAAGAAAGAAAGAGACAGAAATAAATAAGGAAAGAGACAGAAAGACAAAAAGAAAGAAAGAAATAAATGAAGAAAGAAGGAAACAAATAAGGAAAGAAAGAAAGCAAGAAGAAAGAAAGAAAGAAAGAAAGGAACAAATAAAGAACAGTAAATGAATACAAAGTCAATCACGAAACAACACAATTGATAAGGAGCAGAACAGACAACATACAATACACAGAAAGGCAATCAATATAAACTCAATGGCGGAAGAAAGAAGTAACTAGGGGAAGGACGCAAGGACGGAAGGAAAGGAAAGGAAGGGAAAGGGAAAGGGAAAGGGAAAGGGAAAGGAAAAAGGAAAGACAAAAGAAAAGGAAGAAAGGCAAATAAAGGAACGAGGGAAAGAACAAAGAAAGACAGGAAGGAAGAAGTCAATAAAGAGCGCACAAGTTAAGAAGAAAGGACGAGGAGTGTTGTTGGTGGCTATTTTGCCAGAGGCTAGGGCTGTGGCTCGACGTGTTGGCGTCATGGATATTCACAGTCAGGGGCGGGCACATTCTGAGAGTCTCAGAGCTAACAAGCTGAATGGCAATGCGTACGCGGAGACGAGAGAGGAGAGAATACCCAAGAGAGTACTCAGGCAACTTCCAGAAAAGCTCTTCCAAAAGCTCTTTATTCCCAAGCTGCGCGGTCAAGCAGGCATAGAGCAAACTTGGGTGCAGGTTTTATTGCCAGTTTTTGCTTGCGATTTTGTGCGGCAAGGCGGCGAGCCGGCGATGGCTCCTCGGCACATCAGCCGTTTGCGTTGGATTGTGTGAACGCGCCGTAACATCGCGGATTGACTGCCCAGGTCATAAACAAATGCAAAACACATCGCCAAGATAGTGCTTTCAGATGGGGCAGACCACAGTCAACCACTTGCGAACTTCTCGCTTCTGAAAGCTTCCCGCGTGGAAGCTTCCTGCTTTAGGGTGCTCCCCCTCTGAATGCCGCTTTCTGTTTAATCAGGTGGAATGCTTGGACGTGTCCTTCTAGTGCATGTCCAGTAGCATTACAGCAGTCTGTTGTCGAACCATCTGCAACGCGTATGAGTTTTAGCAAGTTTGCAGACACCGCCATCAGCATGTCGTGCTGCTTCCAGCGTTTGTGGGATGAACAGCCGGAGCAACTCTGGATATGGAGATGATGGATCGGTCGTGTTCGGTCTGGCATATTTGTCATGCTAACGTTCTGCAACACATTGCGGGGCCTGTTTCAGTTGCAGCCACGTTACATGGGTGAAAGTAGATGGTGCGATTCCCTCATTTTGATTCGTCATTTCTTTTACTTGCGCACAAGGAGATTGTGCCATCTACTTTGAAGCCCTGGTGTATTTGGTTTCCTCGCCACCAGTTCCTTGGAAGGTAGCGCTCTTCGTGGAAGACGCGGTGCCGCTGGTGGTGGCGATGCTCGCAGTGCCTCGGCGCGGCTTTGGCTTTTTCGTTTCGGAGATTCATCCATAAAGGGGTTTACCATTTTGAGAGGCCTTTGGACATTTTGCCAAGAACCCCCTTTTCGACAACGTGGATGAAGCTAGAATGTGGGATATGTACTAGGCTACAAGGACCGTGTACATGGGTTGCCTTCTCTGGGCCATTCTGGAAGAAGATCTACACGTGCAACTACCCGATCAGCGGGATGCGTAAGCCCAGTGATTGATCACGGGGTTCCCTATGAGCGGAACGTGGAGCGGAGGAGAGTGTTGCGGCATCCTTGTGTTGCTGTGAAAGATCAGGCGCTCTTGAAGAGTCCCCAAGGCCTCGAGCGTAGCAACCGCTGGGCCACAACCTGTTCTCAATCTTCAGATACAAACTGCCGAAGATTTGTCGTCACTTCCCTGCTACCCACTTTCATTGCTTTTCAGAACCATTCTCAGTGTTGGACTGCTGAGCCATTGCTTTGAGAATCCAAATGGGTGTGTCTTTTTGGGAGGGCACCCCGGGTTCCCCTTTCTTGATGGTTTTAAAGGGAATCAAAAGGAATACCACCATTTTGGGGGGTCCCTTAAGAAAGATAGGATAGAAAGACCATACTTGGAGTATTCGCAGGTGCTGTGGGCCGGCCACGCCTTCGTTCCAGTGGATCTCGGCAGTTGGCCGAGGGAGCGCTGCACCTTTGCAGCGTGGCTAGGGGGCCCGGGGATGCCGAAGGGTCATGTGCCCGGCTGTTTCTGCCGGCACGTTTGGCTACTGCCAGGGTCACACTGCCTCTTAGTTGATGCTGAATGCCTTGAACGTGGAACCTCCGCGATAAGTCGACACCACTATGTGTGGGGGGAAAACAACCGTTGCCGGGCGGCTGACCTTCCGTTTCACTCCGCGAATTGATTTGGAGAGTGGCATGCTGAATTTTGATCTGAGCAGCCGATGGGAGCACCAATGAATCAAGCAGGAACAGCCGGTGTAAGACTCACAATACTCAACACAAGCAGCCGTTCCTACATCACTGACGAAGTTGAAAGGCACCTGAATGCACGAAGACGCAGGTGAGTCGACATGGGGCTTCCAGTTCGTAGCCTTTGCGTTTGTACCCTCAGCAAAGAGGGCCACTCATGGCACATCCCTGCAGCAATTTGCGATTGAGGTGCTGGAGAGCACTGCTTGCGCTAGGGGGCTGGTCAGAGCTGAGCAAAGGGCGGCAGCAGAGCACCTAGGACCTGCTCAGTTTGCCGAGAGATCGGGAGAAGGTGGTTCTGTTTGTCACCATGTTCGAGAGAAGGTTGACAGTGACCCACGCAGAGCTTTGGGCTTGAGCCGCGGACAACGAGGTGAATGGGCGGGTGAATGGGTAGATGGATGGGCGGGCGGGCTTTGATTTGTTATCCTCTGTTTGTTGCATTTTGACTTGATGCTTAGCAGCTGATGTTTGAGAATGCACTAGACCACATATATAGTGCTCAGTGACAGCCGCTTTGACGCCATTCATGTTCTGACGACTTTGACTGTGTCAAGCGGCATTCCTAGACACGTGACAAAACAGTTTTATCGAAACAGAACTTAGCAATTGCTTTGAAAGGCTCTTGCCATGGTGTCACACTCCCGCATTTCACAGCTTTAGGGCCCAAGGAAGTGAATTACTGTTTTGATTTCAACTCATCGGATCATCATGCAAGCGCTTGCACAGAGTCTGAGCAATTGAACACAGAGATAAAACAGCAGTTGCACTGCATGATCAATTCTTAGATGCCTGGCAAATGATACAGCCGTTCACGCATGCCGGCTTGAAGTGGTCTCCACCCCAATATGGCCAGGAGCATTGCCTCTTGTCGTGTACGAGGAGATGGTAAACAGTGAGAGCACCTTGGCCGCACAGGCAGTTCGCCAGCCTGACGCTTTTGTCCTCCCATTCACTAAACCTGAAAATAATGTTACGTAGTTGTTCTTGTAATGCAAATGGATTATCATAACATTATACAAGGACATAGATTCTAATACAAAGTACAACCAACACTATCCATCTAAAGGATGATTCATCAGATGAAACCAGGATTCCATGCTAATGGGTGGGAGAGAGGTTGTCCCAGGCTGGGAGAATTAAAGGGCATTTGCAATGAGTGAAGAGGGGAAGTGCCCTTTGACTAGTGGGGTTGCAGCCCACTTTGTGTGGAGCTTCCGAATTGTGAAAGGTGAGGCGCCACCTGCAGCTCTGGAGCCGAACGACCTTTGTTACGCCATTTTCACCTCCGGATCCACAGGTGCGGTTTGGCTGCTGCGCGGGGGCGGTAAGGGTAGGGGAGGGTTGCGAAGCTTGGGCAGTCAAAAGGCCGTGTGCAAGGAGCTAAGTTTGCTGCTCTGTTTTGCTCCTCTCGTGTTTCATTCTTCTCTTGGCCAAGAGTGTTTTGAGCACCAAGTTCTCCTCCGTAAGGACTAGCAACGGCCCTTCTTGCAACAAATTTGAGAAGCAAGGGGTGTCGATCTCTCAAGTCTCTGGGCCAGTCTCAGGTGTTTCGGAGCTTGGTATGCTGAGTTTTTTTTCCCCAGCAGCTGAAAGCTTTGGGGTCTCAGCCCAGATAGGGTTCGGGGTGGTCCGGGGCCAGGGTTCCACGAGGGTTCCACGAGGGTTCCACCAGGATTCCACGAGGTTCTGCGAGTGGTGCACCGCAAGCTGTTGGGGATATCACCTGAGCTTATTTTGTTTTTTCGCAGAGAGAGGAGCAATCGGCAATCAACACTGGACTTTGTTGGATGTTTGTTGGTCAACAGTGTTATGCGCAGATCAGCACAATTTTCGGTACTTGTCAAGAAGGGCCGGGCAAGGAGCATTGGATGCGTTTGCCGTGAGGTGCCAGAGGAACTCCGAAGAGTAACCAGTGATAGTTGATGTGCATTGACGCACAGATCTGAGCAAAAGAAGCAGGCTAATTTTCGGACCTCAACTAGCAGAGTGTCTCACGTCCAGTTATAACACAGATACTCAGTTTGAGAGGACCGATAACTGTATCATAGCTGCAGGGGTGTGTTTCTCAACTAGAGCTCCACATAATTATTCCAGTCACCCTGATCTTCACACCCTAGAAATTCCACTTGTTCCACCACATCCAACTAATGTCAAGCCCCTGCACAAGCGTGGTGCCAATCCGAATCAATTCCCAAAAGCCAACTTGCCCGATCCGCTGCGGTTCCTAACAAGATTCAGCTGTGCGCGTGCTAGCCCTGCGGCAAAAGCAAACTGACCACCAGGTCGCTGACGGGCCAAACGAAGACAACATGGGAGGGCAACACCAACTCCAGCCAGGGAAGCTCGACAACAGTCCATGCAAGCAGAGTGACCGAAACCGACTGTAAACGCATCTACACTGTGAAGTTTGGAGGAACATGGGTCCTCCGCATCCCTCAAAATACTCCAAAAAGGCGACACCAAGGCCACTCTCCTGCTCACAGCAAATCACTGGTGCTTGGCCATCTGGCAATGGGCATTTCAACTGTTTGGCACAACACCTAGACAACTTCTGATACCTTCCATGGCTCGGGTTGCAATACAAGCGCCTCAGGCCGCCCAAAGTGTGTGCTCTGCGAGTGCGGGGGCCTGACGATTCGCGCAGCTCGCAACCTTGCCGGGGTTGGAGGGCGAGTTGCGGAGAGGTTTCGCGTTCATGGGACCAATCACCCTCGAATTCTTACAGAAAAGTGAGTCATTTGGGTGTTTCTCAAAAATAATGACCCCTTTCGGTAGGTGGTTTCCTCTTGGTTTCCCCTCAAAACTAGACAAGATCCGGACCCCTGTTTTGAGAAACACCCATTTGGATATTACCGCAAGCAGGATGCCACTCTCAGCCATTCGCTGCATTTCGACACCCCTCGCCCTGGCCAGGCACCCACCCGTATTCAGGGCTTCATCCAACCGCCATTGCCTGTTCTGTGCAAAGCAGTCTCTTGACGCGGTCGAACTTGTTGTCTCGAGGCCGGGCTACAGAGGCAGACATCTGATTGCTTCTATGCCCCAAACACGAAGACCCTACAAGGATTCTTTAGTCGCTCAATCAGCTGCTGCTGGCTCAGTATGAGGCAAGTTCCCCTTCCGCAAAGCAGGCATGTCTGTCAATCGAATGCATAGTTGTACTGAACCGAGGTTCGTACCAGTTTCCGACAATCATAGAAGTGGACAAGGTGCTTGCTCAAAAAGGAGTAGTCTTCCAAAACTCGTAGATCTAACAATCTGAGGTATTGACAGGGAACCGCCTGAGTGGACAGAAATTCCCGGAATGTCCATGAAGGGGGACGGGATTTTCAGGCGACTCATTTCCAACTCAGGCACCAGGCGGCCCTCGCCTATGCACTGGCCAAGGCTGAGGTGGAAGAGCTGGGCCCAGGCGCGCTATCGAATCCCAGACCTGAATGCCATGCAAAAAAGGTGGGTCTTTTGCTTTGTTCTCAGGGTACCTTCTTTCGTTTCGAAAGGGAAAGAGGAGAACCGAAGCCATTATTTTTTGTGGTCCCCTTGAAGAAAGGGAGACCCACCACGTTCTCCGCACTTTGAATTGCGCGAGGCTGCAGCCAGCTCTTGGGGTCTCACTTCACCTTTGACCCTGCGCAAGGCCGTGCCCCGCGCACACGGGGCCGTCGGAGGGTGTCTCGGGTTGCCGTAGAAGAGAATCGCCAGTCAGAGAGGTTTGGGAGCATACGTTGCCATTTTAGGTCAGTTTGGTTGTAAATTGATGGCACTGGTTGCAAGTTGGTTCTTGTCATTTACCATTGCCGTGACTTTTCCCAAAGGCACCTATGTTTGGGAGGGCTTTTGCGCCTTTTACGCAGTAGAAAGCTACGTCGGCTGTTGAGGATCATCGCTATTAGACACTTATTGGCCAACATTTGGGCCGTTTATATACACGGTAAGACAGAAAAATGGCCGAGTTTGGCCTGTGAAAGCTGAGCCCAAAATAGGTGAAACAGCCGCTCACTTTGTCCAATTTGGGAGTCGGACTTCAGGGGACATCTTCGGCGCCTTGTGCAGCGGTGCTGCGCTGGTGGCTCCGAAAAGGCCGACGGTGCTTGGGGCCCTGCAGGACGTGCTGGCAGGCAGGTTGGGTCAAGGGCTGACGGGCCGACCGCGCCACTGCGCGAGTTGAGTTTTGGCCCTCTTTTGACTCTATTTTACATTTTGAGGTTCGCTAAGGCACTCAGTTTCCCTTTTTTGAGGCAAAAGCTGGGGGAAAAGCTGACGGCATAGTTTGGGTTGGGGCAAACATAAAATCTAGCATCTAGCTTTTGGCTGGGGGAAAAGCTGAGATTTGGTTTTTTTTTTTTTTTTCTCTGCCGAGGCGTGAGCCACGCGACCATGACGCCCACGCAGTGGTCGCTGAAGTCTGCGGGGGAGCTGCCAAAGCTGCGGCTCGTGCGGCTTGGGTTCGAACTTCGCTAAAAAAGAGACCCCTCACAGGTGCCATGAAGGATGGTCACGGACCCCTTAGGGAATTTGGACAGCCATTTTAAGGGTGACCGTGACCCATCATAGGAATTTGACTGTGACTGTTTTTACAATGATACATATGCCTATGAGTGTTAAGACTGGAACGACCTATGTGGATGAAAATAGATCCACACGTAAATGATGCCCACCAAAGAGTCCCCTTAATGAACATTTACGGCTCTACCCCTTTTGAGTCGTGATTTCGTCCAACGTTCTGCTTAGTGGATATGATGAACATTGCCGACGATGCATGTAGCGCCAGCTATGAGAAGCAACACATTTTGATGGTGGCTGAGCGGAAGAGCTCCCCGGGAGCATTGATTTTGGGTTGCAGGTGTACTCTTCTATGACAGGCAGTTTCATAAAGCCTGCATTTGAGTGTCAGATGCGTTAAATCAAGGTGGCATTGTTTAGGGATTGCGCCTGCGCGGCAAGGTTCCTTCCATTCGAAATGGAAGGTTTCGGTTTCTAGTTTCCCACATTCTTAAATTCCCCTTGCTCGTTCAAGTGGGCTGACCGGGGTGCCACCACCGGCGCTTTGTTCTCCCTGGTTTCTGGCTGCAACCACCAGCAGCGCGGCTGAGGACTCTGTGCGGGGAGCCTATGCGAAGGGACACCGTGGAGCAGTGGGCCTCCAAATTGGCGCTCTGGAACATGTACGGGGATGCTTGGACTTGCATTTGGGGGAGGGGAAGGTTTCGTTATCTGTTCTTGGGGCGCGGAGATGGGGGAGATTTGCAGCTTTTCTATTTTGTTTTATGCAATTGTGTTCTTGGGAGGGGGGGTTGTTACCAAGACCCACATGAAGATGCGATTGGGGACAGACAGGGTTTGTTGAACCAGTGGGTCCTAATGGCGAAGTGTGATCAACCCACACACACACACATGGATTGGACACAGCTTAGGGGCCTCATGCAACCTCTACGGATTTTCAACCCGTTGAGCAGTGAGCTGGACATTGGGAACCTGCTCCAAATAGTTGTGTGGTTGTGGTTCTGGTCACAAACCAGGCTGGATGAATTGATATGCATGCAATAGAACAATGGCCTGGTAGGCCAAGGGGGCCAGCATATCGCAGAAAAACCCTGCGGGGTGTCTTAAGAGGATGTCCTTGGCCTTTTAATGTTCCCCGTTAATCAGGCTTCATTCCGGGCTGGGGTTATCCAGAGGCGATAAGGGTCTGCGAATGTCACCCTTGTCTAGTTTATTGGACCAATGTCCCCTTGCAGGGGTTGTAAAGCAGGCCAGGGGCGGCGAGAGTAGAGTCCCTTGTCATTTTACACCCGATGCAACATTGCGTGCTCTTGCCCCAGGACACCCAGCGTTCTTTTTGTAACTTACACAGGGATTTATACCATGCTACGTTTTTTGCGTCAACCAGAAACCTACGTTTGGGTCAAGCCACGTCGGTGCTCAGGTCACAGAGGCTACCGGCGTGCAGGCGGCCCACCGCATGGCCCCTGGTGACTCCACGAAGTGCGTGGGCCGGGCGCTGCCGGGCTATGTGCTGGGCCTCGCCGAGGTGAAACGCGGGTTTGAAGCCGGGTATGGCTTTTGTGTTTGTTGGGAGGCCGGTCCCTTTTCAGGTTGGTTTTAAGAGAATCCAAAAGGACAGCCACCGTTTTGGGGGCCCAATTTTGACACATACGCATATGCGGGTGCATGTGCTCTCTGGCTGGTGTGAGAGATTTGGGTTGGGGTTTGAGAGTCCAAGGGTGTGAGGTGTGATTGTGGAGCTGGTAGCTAACTTGGTTGGCTAACCTGGGACTGGGCTCGGACAAGTTGGGACTGGTCCGGGTCCTTGCTATCTAACTGCAGCTTCAAATAAAGAAGGCCAAATGTATGCGCGACCAGCAAGCTTGTGCTCTTGATATGTTGCAAGAACTCCACCACTCAAACTGCTGACAAGGTCAGAAAGTGCACCAGCGTCCAGTCATGTGTGCTTGCATATTGGGCTCCTAGAGGATGCCCACCAGGTGCATCCAGGAGTTTTAACTATGGCTCTTTGGCGAGGACGAGGCTAGGTCAGGGGCAGCCGTTCGTTGGACAGGGCGAGGTCTTTGTCACGGGCCTGGGCCTGGCCAGGGGCTACTTGGGCCTGCCTGAGGCCGGGCAAGTTGAGCACATGGCCAGTTCTAGGCCTCAGGCTTCTTATAACTTCTTATATTTAGATATACACAGACACACCCATATCTGGTTTCAACGACCGCGCTGAACCGGAGAGTGAGCATTACTGAATCGGAGAGTGAGCATTGGGAAGGCTGCTGGGTTTTTCGGAAGCCAAGGGTGGCATGACGGGGTTCTTGTGAGAGGTTGCGCGATGGCCAATTGCATGCTTGTTTCAGTTGCAACATGTGCTGAGTTCGGCAGAATTCAATGACTTGTACCAGGTGCTTTGCTTGAAATAAGCGGCGCCTTCAACCTAGAACATGCCAGGAGACGGAGCGCCGCTTCGTGCGGGGCCGTATGCCCCAGGACCCTGAGGCCAGGGTTTGCCGGTGCCCCTTCCTGCCACAGCGAAGTAAGACACTCCTCATGGGAACTCCGTAACACGCATGGATCCCAAAACGGGGAGGGTCCCCAGTAAGGAGTTTCCTTGACCATCGTACAGTTGGTTCATTGTTTTGGCACATGGCTCTCAGCTTGCAGCTGCATGCCGGAAGAGGTTCAAGCTGGGCTCTGAAAAATACCAGTCACCGAGGGCTGTCGACTTTCCTGTGAATCACCTGGCATGCGTTCCTCTGTTTCCCCAAAACCAACTTGGACGGCGTGGAGTTAGCATGAACTTTGTAAACCCAATCAATGGGGCAACTCTATCTTCGACTTGGACCAATGAATCATTCAACATGTACACATATCTTGATCATTCGCAAAGAGTTCCAAATAGTCTGGAAGGAGGAACTCTTGTGCATCTCTATATATATATATTATGTAATGTATATATATATATGCACACCCGTGTATACATACGTACATACATACATACATAACATTACACTACATTGCATTACATTACATTACATTACATTACATTACATTACATTACATACCTACCTACACACCCACATGCATGCATGCATGCAACATGCATGCATGCATGCATGCATGCATGCATACATACATACATACATACATAAATAGATACATAATACATACATACATACATACATACATACATACATACATACATACATACATACATACATACATACATACATACATACATACATACATACATACATATACATACATACATACATACATACATACATACATACATACATACATACATACATACATACATACATACATACATACATACATACATACATACATACATACATACATACATACATACATACATACATACATACATACATACATACATACATACATACATACATACATACATACATACATACATACATACATACATACATACATACATACACATACACATACACATACACATACACATACACATACACATACACATACACATACATACCTACCTACCTACCTACGTACGTACGTACGTACATACATACATACATACATACATACATACATGCATACATACATACGTACGTACGTACATACATACACACACACACATACATACATACCTACCTACCTACGTACGTACGTACGCACATACACACACATACATACATACATACCTACCTACGTATGTACGTACGTACATACAGACATACATACATGCCTACCTACGTACGTACATACATACACACACACACACATACATACCTACCTACCTACGTACGTACGTACGCACATACACACATACATACATACATACATACATACATACATACATACATACATACATACATACATACATACACACATACATACATACATACATACCTACCTACGTACGTACGTACGTACATACAGACATACATGCATACATACCTACCTACGTACGTACATACATACACACACACACATACATACCTACCTACCTACCTACCTACGTACGTACGCACATACACACACACACATACATACATACATACCTACCTACGTTTGAACGTACGTACCTACATACACACATACACACATACATACATACCTACCTACGTACGTACGTACGTACGTACGTACGTACACACAAACATACATACATACCTATCTACGTACGTACATACATACACACACACACACACACACATACATACCTATCTACCTACGTACGTACGTACGCACATACACACATACATACATACATACCTACCTACGTACGTACGTACGTACGTACCTACATACACACATACACACGTACGGACATACATACATACGTACGTACGTACGTACATACAGACATACATACATACATACCTACCTACGTACGTACATACATACACACACACACACATAGATACCTACCTACCTACGTACGTACGCACATACAATCATACATACATACATACATACATATCTACCTACGTACGTACGTACGCACCTACATACACACATGCACACATACATACATACATACATACCTACGTACGTATGTACGTACATACAGACATACATACATACCTACCTACCTACTCACATACATACATACAAACATATATATATATATATATATCTTTTTCAGATATACACCCCGCAGAAGACACATCCTCAGGCGCGTGCCTACCTCACCGGGGACCTCGGAGTTTGGACGGACCAGGGACTGGAGCTCCTGGGGCGCAAGGACCACCAGGCGACGACGTCGCCTTCGAACCCTACCGCGAGCGGGGGTTCGCCCATTTTGATTTGATGTCCCCGGGGGAAGAACCAGGTGGAAAAACCAGGAAAAGGAGTGGAAGGATCTACAAACATGTGGAAGCCAGAGGTGATTCCCTTGCCTCCTTGAAAAGAACATGGAGAAAAACCATGTTTTCCTTTTTGACGGTTTCCCGAACCCAGACAATTTGCTATCCAAAGGATTCGATTTACATTCTAGTGGGCCCCATCGCGGTTGGCTGAAACAGGTTGCCAAATGGATTTGGATCCCTCAAATCTTGGAATCCCGGAAACAAATTCGTGGGTTTTCTGGTGGAGTATTTGTCGAAACCAAGCTTTCGCGTTTGCCTAGGCTTGACTGCATTCTCATGCAGAGCATGTCTGGCTGTCTGGCAGCTGGGGCAACGTGATCTTTTGGTACGAAGAACCAACTTAAGTCATCCACTGCGCTTTTGCCCCTTACACCAAGTTGGGGTCTCTGAACCTTGTGCGGCCTGCACAAAGATCCGCAGCCAGCTAGAAATGGAATCAGGCAAATGGGACCTCTACGCCGTCTTGCTCCATAGCTTACCAGTGTAACTCTTGTTTGTTTGGTGTTGCCAGAATCGACTTTCACAACTGTGCGCCGAAATGGATGCAGCTACCATGGCGATCCCACGACATGTTCCAAGGCACACACGATGCTATCAAGATTAAGACCTACCACTACAGTTGGCAGCGGGAAGATTGTGAACCCGTGTTTCCTTGGGTGAATGTCCGTAATGGCCAAAGCGTCCCCTTTCCCTGGGCCAGGTGAAGATCTCCGGTGTACGCGTGGAGCTCTCAGAGGCGGGGGGGGCTTCCGTTGGGCCGGCTGATGGGATCCGATTTCGGGGGTCGGAAAAAGGAACGCCAAACTGGAGAGCCCAAGTGACTAAGTGGTTGTGACGTCGCGGACGGGTGGGCGAGGCGACCGCGCCTCCGATTCGGCAGGTGGAGATGGCGCTGGAGAGCTCGGGGCTGTGCAGCGCCGTGGCCTGCGTGGTGGTGCAGGACCAGCTCGTGGCCCACGTGGTGCCCCAGCCGCGATTCGAATTCAAAGAAGTCGCTTTGGTCCGAAGGGACTTGGAAGTGGTGGCTTTTGTGGTTTTGGGTTTTGTTTTGCTTGTTTTTGAGTGGGTTAAAGGACTTCGCAAGCAGAGCCACGTGGTGTTTCCCAGTTTGGCAGTTGCCGCAATTTGGAGTCATGACCTTTCGGTTTGGACAAGTGGACGCGGCGAGCTCAATGTGACCGATTTGATGCTGCTCGGTTGAATTCATTCTATCATTTCAATTTGTATACGACTGCAGTACAAAGACGTACAAGCCCCAGACCTATGACCAGCATTCCTCGTCCATGCCGGGTCTTCCTTAGCAAGCCCTCTCTTGGACGGAAATTGGCGGGCCGACCAAAGAAGGAGCCCTGGTGACTAGGCACTCCAGTGGCTTCGATTGGCAACTTCTTGACGCATTCGATCCTTTTGAATCAGACAGTTGATTGGCACCTTCCCGGTCACATCCTGGCGTGGTTGATTTCAGCCAAATGGCAGAACCTTCCAGGCGCGTGCTTGCGACAACTCCAGATCAATTGATTCCTTGAGTGTGGAGCCATGCATATCGAAGCGACGCCCCGCGAGGCGCTGGAGTCGCCGGCGGACTGGGTGCTGCGAAGCGCCCTGGAGGCCTCCGCCGGCGCGCGGCTGCCGGCCCAGGCGCAAGCGTTGGAAAGCCTCCGTGGCGGTTTCAAGGCATCGTTGGAAGCAAGTCAGCAGCTGTTGCACAAAGAGTGCGCCAAAACACACTCCTTGTTTTGACGACGTGAAAGGCAGAGGCCAAGGATGTTGAGAGAGACACTTGCGGTGGCCAACCATTTTGAGAGTTGCTAGCTAGTTCTTTGGGCCGGCCGGGAGCTATGAAGGGAAGCCATGTGGCCCACAGTGGGCCCCAAGGATTGCGGGGCCTGATTAGTACACAGCCGGGGGGCAGTAGCTTTAGTTTCAAGTTTGTTATTCACTTTCTTGGGTTGGCTTTTGCCTCGTGTTTTGGAGAGTATCCTCTTCAATTCTTTGGCCTCGTGGTGGTTGCAAATCGTCTGGCCTCAACCTGGGGAAAAGCTCTCTTGTCACACCTTAATCTGCCTTTTCTTCGTGGCGATGTTTGCCATGTTGTTTCTATTCCTTTGGGTTTTGGGGTTCTGAAATGTTTACCATCATCTTGTTTGGGGGTTCTGTTCATGATTGCCTGGTTCTTCAGGCAACCTTAGTTCGTGGTTTGGACTGGTGGTTTGGGGATTTGTCCCCTGGTTCTTGTAGCGGGTAAATGGGACACCACCCCGTGTCACCACCAAAGCAATCCAAACCCCAATTCAATTGGTGGGAAGCTGCGTTCGTGTTTTATTTCCTGCTCTTTGGGTCTCGGGATTTCCCAGCACCCTTTTTGAAGCTACATGGCTCCTTGGATCTGGATATCCAGCATCCTTCTGTCAAGAGGAAGCCTTAAGCAATCCCTGGTGAAACAATGACAACCTGCGGTCTGGTGGCTTTATTTTGACCCATGCCCATTTCCTGCTCGGGTGACTGGATTGCTTGGGTGTGACGCCAGGTGGTGCCCCACCGCTTCGTGGATCACCAGCGCCTGCCGCTGGCCGCTGGGGGCAAGGTGGACCGCCAGGTGAGGGACGGACACGGACACGTTGGGGCAACGGGGTGGCTCGTTTTTCTTTTGCAGGGCACTTTTTTTTAGATATAAAGGGGAGGAAAATCGCCATTTTGGACTTCTCCTATCTTAAGACACACCCTTTTGGAGGTGGGACACCAAAAAGAAACTGTATTAGGAGTTTAACAGGTGCTTTTGGCGGGTGGGGTGGGGGGGTGGGGTGGGGATATCATTTAGGCGTTTCATGCCCACCAACCGCTTTTGCGGTGATGACGTTACTTTTCTTTGAAATGGCTGGTCTTTGGTGTGACCTTGCCCACTGAGATTTGGATCCGATGTACTTGTTGTTGGGTGGCACCCCGGTTTAAAAGGAATAGTGCTCAAGCACCTTGATGTGCTCAAGAATGAGCCAGACGCCTTAGCTGTTGGAAACTTCTGGAGGCCACGTTGGGCCGAATGCTGGGGTGGCGCCTGGATGTGGAATCTGTTGGCCTACTTCCTTTGTCAAGGGTGTACTTGCTTGAAGCCATTCGAATCTTTCAGAGCTCATGTGTGCAATGCATCGTTTCATCCGGCAGACGTGGCCACATTTCATGTGGACGGTTGCCCGATTCTGTGTGTTTCTTTTTAGAAGGGGTTGGTCTTAGGGGGAAGCCAAAGGGAGCACCTCCATCATACGGGTTCTCAACTTGGATGTGGCATTCCGTGGAAGCTCCAGGCTTTGGTGGCCCTTGGCTTCGGTGTGGAGCACGAGGAAGCGCCCGAGCCGCTGCGTACTCCGCTGGAGGTGCTCCGTTTCCGGAATTTTGGGGCGGCGCTTGAAGCTCGGGGGCAACGCCGACTCTGGCTGATCTGATATTGCCCAAATGTGTGTGTGTATGTGTGTGTGTGTGTGTCTCTTTTTTAGGGGGTATCCTTGACATGGCTTTGAAAAAGAAGCCAAATGGAAAGCCACCATTTTTGAGGGAGTGTAGTGAACCATTTCTTCTTTGACGCAAATATTCGGATGTCCTTGCTGGCTACCTTCGGGGAGCCCCGCGTGCCTGTTCGCCGCTTGCCACCCGCATTTGGCTGTGGGTCAAAAATAGGTACCCAAAATGGGGCCCTGGTAAATGGAACCAAGGACTAAAACCTGCGGTCCCCTAGTGGTTTAGTTTTGACCCATACCCATTTCACACACACGAGCCAATCGCACGCCATGACTTCCACTTGCGTTTGGCTACGAGTTTGAACCTTCAACGATTGGCGGACACAACCCCCCCCTCAATCATGCGCACCAAGGGGTCCATTACACTTCATTTCTGAAGGGGGGTCCGGGACCCAAGGCGGAACTTTCCAAGGGATCGCTCCGGTTGCAGCTAAGCGGCCATGGGTCAAAACCCCGTACCCCCAGTGAGCATTCCAATCCCCACTAAAATAGACTAAAATGGGCGGTGCACCCACCCCAAAATGGTACCATTGGTTTTGAGCCAAGTGGATACCTGGGTTGGTCTCCCTCTTAAGGAATCCCCCAGGCGGCCGTGGCCGCAGCCTGGGCATCGGTGCTGGGCCGCGAGGTGGAGGAACTAGGAGCGAATGTCCGGTTTCCGGGGGCCGAGTGGGTCGCCTGGGAAGTCATTTTGGGTGAAGCAAGAAGTTACGTAAGATATTTTCGACTGTCAACGGGGCTTGAAGTGGTTTAACATCACCTTCTAGGCTGCTTCAAGTTGAGTTTCCGTTTGGGATGATGTTTCGAAATCAAGAGGTCTGAAGTGCTTAGCCTGGCAGGCTTGCTAGGTTGCCGGCCTTTGAGGGCATGTGCCATTGTGGGAACGGTATCTTTTTTTGGATCCTTCCTGGGTTCGCCTCTGAGCTCATCCATCCGCCAAAAGCAAATCGCCAATCGCATCGATTACCTCCACCTGACCGCACAGACCATGGGGCCCGACTTAGCTTGGACTCACCAATGGTTGGGTTGTCGAGTGCCCTCCATAACACCAAGGCGTCGACTCGCATGTCACGCGGATCCCGTGGATCCCGGCTGGGCGCGCAAGGCGCGAACTCCAACTTCCAGTGGCTCCGGGGCGACAGCCTCGCAGCTCTCCGCGCCTGCAGGGCGCTGGCGCAGGCCCGGCGGAAGTCGCGGCATGTGCTCCACTTCGGCCAGCCGCCATTTGGAAACCAACGGGAGGTGTGGAAAGCTGGACACCTGCTGGGGCAATTGCGGGCCGTCCTAGCTCTTCAATGCGTCGGCCACAAGGTTTTTGCTGCTCGACAACACACATTTGTGGCATTAGTCACCGTAATTCCCCTGACTGAGCAATGGGATGATGGTACCGCACCCAGCGCAGGAATTTGTGAGTGCTGCACCTCACTTCCTCAGTTTTTTGAGGACACCAGGAGGCCAGTCCTCCAGACAGGTTCTATCCTGGCGCTGCGCGCGTGCCAGGAGGTGACGCTGCCCAATGAGCAGGCTGAGCTGGATGTGCAGCAGGACATCCTGCGCCAGCTGTCCAAGGGTCCCGAGCCGGCCAAACGGGCCCAAACGGTGCCCGCCTCCCAGACAGGGCCTCCGCTGACATGTCGCATAGGAGCAGCAGGGCGAAGCGGGTCTTTTAGTATCTGCAGAAGCACCTGAAGGCCGACACAAGCTTGGGCTTGCCAGCTTGACGCGACCGATCGAGGGTGGACTTGTTTGCCACATAAGCTATGACGCCACAGAGCTTGGTATTGGTGGCCAACGGCTTAAAGGAAACGCGTGCTAGGCCCACAAAACGTCGCAACGCCTTTTGTGAAATAGAGATTAGCTGTGCTGACCAATCACTTGACATTTGCCGTAACTGGCCCCCAGGGTATTTGGCCTGGCTGGAGGGAACCTGGCATTTCCCTCATGGGTCCTCCACGCCAGATGCGCTCTGCGTGCTTTCTGCGGCCCTCGGGCCTTTGGCGCCCTGCGAGCTATTGCTGAGGCGAAATGGGCGGGAGTTCGGCACTTTTGGAAGTCATGGAGACGCTTTCTGGGAGCCATGACAACATCCAAGGCAATTCTGCTGTAGGTGGAAAGGGGAAGCACATGAGGAAGACACAACATGTGACGAACAAATCCTTAGCCAGCCTAAAATGGCCCCACAAAACAACACAAGCTGGATCTTTAGCATTTCCTGAGGCAAAGGAGACCCTGGGTTGCAAGAGACAATCCAAGGAGAGCATGTTTGTAGAGCAGGGCTCAACCCAGGATTGCCATCAGCCGGAAGAACCACACTATTGGGATCAATTGAGCTATATTTTTATACATATTCATCACCCCAGCCTTCGAGTAGATACGACCAGGTCAAAAAATGTTTCCTTGGTGGGGGATGCTAAATATTTTGTCAGTGAGACCATCATGACATTTCGTTGTTCGGAACAGAATGCAAACATAAGGTTGCGACAGGTTCTTGGGGACTGTCAACATCATTGAGAGAGGCATCCCTGCCCTGGCGTTCGGCAGACCTTGAAGAGATTTAGGGGGCTGACTGATGCCTGATGGCTGCCCTTTGTATACCACGTGTGTGTGGAATGCGGAGGTTCGTGACGGACCTTGCGACTTTAAACGAGGGCACAGTCGTGTAGTTGGAACAGTGGATGCTTTCGTTGCAAGAGAAGCTTCTGCGCCTCAGGCCGACGCTGGGCCAATATGCCGCCTTCCTGGCCTCCCAGGGAGTGCGTGTGGGGCCCGGGCCCTCACCCGATGGAGGCTCCTTGGCAAGCTGGACGAATTGTCACTCTCTCGTTTGCTGAGACGAGCAGGAGAAGAAACATAGAGAGAGAGAGAGAGCTGGGACAGCGAGAGCGGGGCAAAAAGAAGGAGCGTTTGGCTGTTGCATGCACCTTTCGCCCATCATCTCCTTTGAGGCGCGGAGGCGACAGGCGCGGGGCAAGTGGGACATGCGGCATTGGGGAACCGAGCCGATGTCTTCAACGGGATGTGGAAGGCTGCTTGGTGGCGACTCCTCTTTTGGCAAACGGGTTGACTACAGTGCGCGCGCTGTCTGGAGCCAAGAGGGGGCTGGATTTCTTAACCAAGTTCTTAGCCCTGTCTGCTAAGAAATTCAGGGGCTCGATTTCTTAGCGGCCTTTTTCCCCGTAGCAGCTCAATTTCCTAAGGCCTTTTGGGTCAGGAAAAGAAATCCAGCGGCTCAATTTGAGCCTAACATTGGCAAAAGACAACTGCACGTGCTGGGAATTGAACCCAACCTGTGGCTGCAGCGGAGTCCGCTCAGAAATTGAGCCCCTGATTGTCTTAGCAAAGGAGAACTTCTTTGTAAAAGAGTCCTTCATCACCCGAAAATTGAGCCCCTGGACTTCTTAGCAGGCACTCCCCTGATGGTCACACATGCTTTCCTTATCGCGCAAGTTTGCTAAGAAATTGGACGAACAGTGCATGCAGGGGGGGTTCAATTTCCTAGCAGCAAATGCAGTTGCAACCTACTTGGTTTGGCAATCTCCGCCCCTCAATTTCTTATACAATGATTTCTTCTACAGCTTGAGCTGTACCCCTACCTGCCATGGGAAGCTACGTGCAATAAGATTAGCTTGAATCCCCCACTGCGCGCCCGGGGCACTTGCGACATCGAAAAAACTGCCACTGCCACGATCCAATCCGCGGGCCCCCAACGGACTTGAGGGAACTGGCAACTGCCAAAGGCTGTCTCATGCCTGCGGAGTATTTTCCGCGTAAGGAGAGGCTGAACGACCCAATCGAGCAATCTCATTTCAAGATGGCACCTGCTTTCTTCTTTGCTAATTACAAAACAGGCATTGCCAAGCTCCTTCATGACTAGGTGTCGTTACTCATGAGACTGCGGGGCTGCTTGTGTGGATGATGCTCAAGTGGGGATCCAATTCCTACTTTTTGCCTTTCACACCAAAGAATCAGTTGGGTGTTTCTCAAAATGGCCAAAGCCCCAAAATGGGTTGCTTCCTTTTGGTTTCCCTAACCCACGAGCTCCATTTTGAGAACCCCGCAGTTGGATTGCTTGCCAGGCAGCCTGGCAGAGCTTGCGCTCGTGGCAGCGGCAGGACGAAGCTGTAAGGTTTTTGTGGGGGGCCTCCTGGGCGTCATCGTGTCAACCACTTGAGCAGCGTGCAAAACCACCATTGGCCGTTTTAGCAGGGGCTACTACCTGGTTTAGCAAGGGATAAATTTAAGTCTATTAAGGCCTATGCAAGCCGTTTTCGCCTTCTTGGTAGAAAGAAAAGTCAATGGGCTTTGGGCGGCAGCGAAAGCATTGTCTGGGGCCATGGCAGGTGCCTCAAGAACTGTCGACCACAGGGAACACGTGAAGTTGGTCACTCAGAAATGTTGGTGGCTAAATGAAACAGGGCCAAAAACTGGAAGCTAAACCGGAATGGCCAAGCTTTTTCCTGGAATTGCTAAACGTTGGCCATGAACAAATCCAGGTTTGAAGGCGCACCTGCGGCCGCAAAGCTTTGTGAGATGCAAGCCCCTTTTCTGCGCATTGCGAAGACATGACGGGTCAATCCTTTGCCAGAGACCCTGAGTGCATGCAGCTATCGCAAGGTGATGTATAGACACATTGTAAGTTTAATGCTTTGAGTGGTGTAGTTGACACCACTGAAGGTCGCTGAATTGCGTTTCACGAACACTGCCAAATGTGGCCTGTAGATGGTTGCTATCTTTCAGCGCTGTATCGCACGTCCCTACATGTTTTCCACAAATGTTACTCCATGGAAACACCTCTCGGAGAGCAGCGGATGGCTTCTAAGTCCTGTTTTGCCGAGCGGGTCAGCACCTGGAAATGTGTAGTGCTCACGTCAATCTGCGCCCAATTTAGTAAAGGATTCAACTCGACCCGCGCACCCTGGATAGAATTCAGCGGACCCCAAATGGGTTTTAATCGGGGTCAAGCTTGCATCAAAGTGCAATCATGTGTGCAGCATCCTGGTTCCCATTTGCAAGAACCCATGTAGTGTCACCCAACGAATTTGTTTGGGAGCTACTCAAATGGTCCGACTCTACTAGCTGGAACGCCGAAGGTCGCTATTTGTTTTTTTGCTGGGTAGGGCCAAGCCAGCTTAGCGGATTCCCAGTAAAACCTCGTGCCATGCTCATTCCGGGAGGATGATCAACTCTCAGCCCATGCCAACCTCATTTAGATTTCAGTATTTTCGGACATCCTTAAAGCTGTGCCCAAGAAGCAACCAATCCCCGGTTTTGAGACCCATGCTCTTCAAAGGTGTCACAAGGTCTTGTCTTTGCGGTAACCCTCCGTATGGGTGTCTTTTTTCAGTTTGTGTCAACGCCTTTCAAGGCGAACCAAAAGAAGTACCTCCCGGACACACGGGACACAAACCCATATAAGATCATAGCATTTGGTCCAGGAGACGGCAGGGAGGCGGTGGTCCGGGCGCTGCTGGAGGCCGGGATGCCACGCTCCGACGCATCGATGCGTTTCACTGAACCGCGTGCCGAAAGCAGCAGACAGCCCACCATTGGTTGCCCCTCTGTGGTGATCTTTGGAGTAAACGGGCTTCCCTGCCGCTTTTGGCTTCACGTTGAAAAAGGGATGCACTCGGCTGCTAGTTTGTAGCAAAGACTTGGGCTTTCGGACTGGACTGGACTGAACAATTGACCGGAAGATGAGCGCCAAGGATATAGTCACTTGGACCCCCGCCAGAGAAGAGCTTTTGGCTTCGTTGCCTTCAGCATCCAAGCAGTGCAAGCATGATCAAGGAGCCAGTGACTTTCCAAAAGTGTACTCCCAGTCTGAGTGCTATTCAGGGTCCGCACCTGAGCTCCATTCGCACGTAGGCGCGCTGCTGCCCTGATGGGCCCTGCCGGGGCAGCCCGGTCAAGGGCTCCACGCCACTGCATGCAGCGAGCGCAGCGGGGCATGCAGGCACCCCGCCAGAGTGGGCTCACAGCAGTTCTTAGCAGGGTGGAGCGAGATTTGTTTGAAACGATCACCCCCTGGGTCCCCTTCAAAGGCCTCTGAAAAGGGTTTTTTGTTTACACCAACGTGGGGTAAATATGTTTGATTGCACAAGGGGTTAGGCCCCCTGGTGCTCTGGATTTCAACTGCCCAAGCAGCGCAATGCGACTTAAACCTGAGATTGGAAGGGAGCAACCAGCATGTCTTGTGCAGTTTAGCCAGAAGGGCACCAGCTTGCGTCTTCTCTACACCTTGACCTACTGGCTGATTTTGCTGGTCCCAATCACAAAGGACAACCTAGCGCTCCCCACAAGGACTAGTGGCAGAGTGAATCGGCAGGGTGAAGCGGCAGGGCGAAGCGGCAGGGTGAAGTGGCAGGGTGAAGTGGCGGCGGAGGGCAGGAGATTTGAAGAGTAGGTACGTGTTGCAAAATAGCATTCAAACCACATCAATCTCAACCCCCCCCCCCTATGACTCTATGCAACACAACACAAGTTACTTCAGGTAGAATATGACTGCGGTTGTCAGGGACAGTGCTGCATGCGTGCACGTCAGAGCGGCAGCACACGTCGTATCGTACAAACATACACGTTCCCAGTCCACTTTGTTCTTTGATCACGTGGAAGCCCAGCATCACACGATCACATGGCGCACATCGAAAACCGACGATAAGAAGCCATGGGCCAGAGGTCTGGCCTTTGGTCCGGTCTGCACGCCTCCCCGCCGCGAGGCTGTGCCCGGCTGCTGCTGGCTGCAGGCGCCCAGGTGAGGGCCATGACTGCGGCGCGGACGAGCGCGGCGCACTTGGCGGCGGCGCGGGGGGAGTCTCGGATTGGGTGAAGGTTGGGGCCGTGGGGTTTGGGTTGAGAGGGAATGAACCTAGGGATTCCCTTAAAGGAAACCATAGGGGATGGTTTGTTGGGGTCATTCCCTCATTCCCTGCTGAGAACTAGCAAGGTTTGGAGTTGGGTTTGAGGGCTGCTTGATGGGGAAGGGGGGGACGTTGGAGCCGTCGGTTGGCGGGCGGGCTTAGAGGATTGAATGAGAATGGCGTCGAGGCTTTAGCAGGGGATGGACAAATGATATATTTGCATTTACATATTGTTTACACATTTCTCATTGCCCCCTGACTGCACCGTCAGCCGCTGCAACACCTCTTGCCCTCAGGACGCTTAAAAGCTTAAAAAAGAAGAAAAAAACAACACGGAGCATCGGCTTGACAGTGACTCCCTCAGCGCCAACCGCCCCCCCCTCCTCCCTCTCCTGTCTTAGGACGCCAACCTGCTGGCACTGCTGCTGGCCCTGGAGGGGGCGCAAGGCGTGGCGACCTGGGCGCGGGACGCCGACCAGCGGCTCGGCCATTCGGGGAATGGCATGGGGGACGCCCGCAAGACGTGGGGGTTTTCTCGTTTGGAATCTTGTTGGTTTCGGTCCCTTTGATCCTCGCCGGGTTGCTGGGACTCGAGCTATGCGCGGATCCGCTGATATTTGCAGCGTGCCAAGGCAAACAGTTCTGCATCTAGCCGCCAGGCGCGGATGGGATGGGGGCGCTAGTTATGTTGTGAACGTTGCAAGAGTTAGCTTTTCCTTTCACGCACTTTTCTTTTTTGAGCAGATATTCAATGCTCTGGAAGCGGCGGCTGGAGTTTGGGTACGCTTGAAGCTAGCTGTGGCGGCACCCACGCTGGATATGACGCGGGAAGAGATCGTAAGTTGATAGGATGAGCAGCAATCTTGCCGCTGCTCGGTCTCGGGTCACATCAGGTCACATCAGGTTCTTGCCAAGCGGCGAGCTTTTGATTGCACTGTCTCGCAACGCAACGTCACGCTGCTAGCCTGGCATGTCTGTCCTTGGGCAGTGACATCTTGCCCTGACACCTGCTTTTCTGTTCGGAAGACCCCTTGAGGTACCAATGCCTTACTTGATTACTTCGTTTCGGCCGTGCTTTT